TGCATTTTAGTGAATCCACAGCTGATTGTAAAGCTGGTGGTCTGAGAAACTATCTAGAGTGAAGGAGAATAAATCAATTTAGTGGAGAGCAAACTCACTTGTCTTAAATATTTATATGCAGTTAAATAAATGGCTCAGTGCTTGATGCTGTGGGTCTACTCTGACATCTCTGAAGGCCTTCTCTAAAGATCCTTGGAACTTAGCACCAGAAGGGATATTTGTGAGGGTTGGTCACACATTTCTAAGTCAGCATTTGTGGCTTCAGTTTCTCCTCCTTGAACTTCCCTAACAGCCCAAGTAAATTTAGTGGGCCCAATGTGGATAATACTGATATGGCAACCCCATAGAAGGAATTTTATCATAATATAATCTCTAGAATAGAGGAATAACTTCAGAAAGGCTCACATGTGTTTCAACAAAATTGAGAGGTGCCCTTGCATCAGTTTCCAGGGCACTGCCCTCAGCACTGACCCACAAAGAATGTTCCCACATGGTCTCTCAGGAGCCCAGGCCCTGATTTGCCACAGGAGAAAGGGCCAAGGAATTCACTGTAACAGCTTGGAGAATGGCTTTGCAAACCCAAGAAATACTCATTTCCTAATTTGCCAGCTGAAAAGGAGTTCAGAGAGTAAAGATACTGATTCATGCCGATCCTGTGGTAGGCTATGGTGAAGGGGTCAGTGGTGGGAACAGGAGAGAAGCCCAACTCTCTTTAAAGTCACCAGGAGCAAGCAGTTTTGATGGTAGTATCTGCTTAACACAGCAAATGAGCCTACAAATCTATGAATGCAACCTGCTAGCTCTTTTCTCATTGCACCCACATTTATCACAATGGCTGTGTGTGTCTGGTATTTTCAGTTTCAAATTTAAATGTAAACTCATGAGGGACACTTTTTATCATGGTCACTTGGGTTTCTCTGTGTCTAAAATACTGCCTTATACGCAGTAGAGGATAAGTGGGGACTTAGTTGTTTTAATTTTGTGCAATATTATGGATGTTTTTCTTAATCAGAATATGATCACTTTTTATATAAGTGTGTGTTTTGAAAGGCTTGCAGTGTTTTTTTCCTATAATTTTAACATGTCTTGGGACAAAAGAATACAGTGGTGTGTTACATGGGTACCATTTATTCCATGTATTTTCATTAAAATTATTTTTAAAAAAGGTAGGGCTCAGTATTAATAGTACTTGAAAATTGGCTCATCCAGCTGATTATACTAAGGAAAGACCACGAAAGTCAGTTTTGTATTTAACAAAAATGCATTTTTAATAATTAATTGTTGGTTGTCCAGCCCATGGTAGGATGACAATAAACTATTCCAACACATGTGGATCTTTAAGATAAAGCAAGGCAACATAGATTGTTTTAAAAATGACATGCCCACGAAAACAATGGATCGTGGCTCACCACATCAAAAACTAATGATGTATTGTATGGTGACTAACATAACATAATAAAATAAAAAAATAAAAAAATAAAAATGACATGCCTGCTACATTGAGACCGCAAGTATTAAATGGCATTGTAGCAGATGCTTTCTTTGGTCTCTGGGAAGCATAAGAAGAGGTTAGGTGATGGGTAGTCACATTGATAATGTTAACTGTATTACAATCATTTGTTTATTATGTATAAGAAAGGTGACAGGGGCGCCTAGGTGGCTCAGTCAGTTAAGCGTCCAACTCTTGATTTCTGCTCAGGTCATGATCTCAGGGTCCTCAGATGGAGCCCCAAGTCAGGTTCTGTGCTCAGCACAGGGGCTGCTTGAGAGTCTCTCCCTCTCCCTTTGCCCCTCCCCACCTTGTGCATGTGCGTGCTCTCTCTCGCTCTCTGAAAGAAAGAAAGAAAGGAAAGAAAGAAAAAAAGAAAGAAAGAAAGAAAGAAAGAAAGAAAGAAAGGTGACAATCTATGGGTTTTTTTTTTTTTCAAGTCAAAGTCTGCCCTCCAAATGATCATTGAAAGATTATAATGTAATTTATCTTCAAAATGTGAAAACTTTTGGCTCCATATTTTCTAAAGAACATTTTTTTTCATTTTAACAGAGATTTCACTCATATTATATGTATCTCCCTGTTAAATATTTTAAATTTGGTGTGTACTTCAAAACTGATCGCTGTTTTGTGATTTACAACCTTGGAGAAAAATAACATAGTAGTCATAACTTTGCAGTTTTTTGTGATGCATGAAGATCAGATTTTTTAATGTTGGTTAATGCTTTGCTAATTAAAGTGTGCATGTTAATTAAAGCAGAGGCTAATGTTAATTACCTATATTAATGGAATCTCATGTAGCACCTGCCTGAAGCAATGGGTTCAATTTTCAAAATATCTCAATTAAGGCTGAAACTTTTGATTTGCATCTAGTAGGGTTTCAATTAACTGCATTGAAAAATAACACTCTTAGGGGTGCAAAATATCAGTGATTATATGAAGTATGGTGGAGCTTGGTAGGTGAATTTATAGAGACTCTTTTTCCAGCCTAACTATATTTACTTCTTATCTACTGGTCAAATTCTGTTCATCCACCAGGGCCCAGTGAAAACAACACCTCTTCCACAAAGTATTTTCCAATTCCCAGGATACGATCAGCTCCTGTTTGTTGCTCTTCTTTTACCCCATTCTGCCTTATATTATACTTACTTGTTACAGTCTGTGTCCCTTGCTAACTAGTAGCTCCTTAAAGGCCTTGTCTTCCTCCCTTACAAGGGCCAGCACACCTGAGAAGAAGCCAGCCTGTTTTGATAACTATGATTATACTAGATGTCAAAAAGGTTAGCACCATTAGCTCATAATCCTTTCCAAAGACCCAATAGAAATAGTTGTTATTGGGTCTTCAGCAAACATAAGAGTAAGTTCAGGAGAACTGATAAGCATACTAATTAGTATAATCATAGTTTCAGAAAAAATAGTTTCCATTATTCTACATAATAGGGGAAGCAATAATCTCCCCCATAAGTATACACAAATAGATCACACACTGATTTGCAGCTCCTGGAAATAAGTACCAGTTACTGGTGTTCCTTGGCAAACTTTGACTCTGACTGTTGATCTCAGCGGGCGCAGATTTGTCTTCATTCAACTGTGGAGAATATCAAATGAGCATAAGATTTCCATGTGTAACGTATAACCGACAAGGTGATATAAAAGGCACCATTTACTCTCCTGATGTGCTATTGGCAAGCTGGTGTAAAAAAAAATTATTTTTAAGGTAAATAGGAAGAGTATTGATGGAGCAAGAATATGTCAGCCGTCGTCCTGATGGCAGGACATATTATTACTAGAAATGAGATGTGAATGTGTCCATTAACGAAGAGCAATGCAGGCTTCGATGTGATCGTGAGAGCTCCCATACTTCATGTCGCAACTGGTTCCATGTTGGGTAGTTAGTAGGTGGAATAAATGCAACTAGCTGGAGGAACATGACAAATATGCAGATCAGATTTTCCCAGGATGAGGCAATGGGCCAGGTCTTTACAACTCAGAGAACAAAGTCACCAAAGCATCCATTCCCCACTGTGGCACCATTAAGGTGGCAGATGGCAGAGCATTAGCAGAAAGATACTGGGAACAGCTGAAAAACATCTGGTAAGAAGTGACAACCTAACGGGTGTGCTGGGCTTTTCCTAATTGTGAGGCAATCACTCAAAAAGCCTGGAAAGAGACTTCAGTGTTTTGGTGGTGGGAGAAAGGAGTTGGCTGGAGCACTACATTTGAGTTCAGGGATTTGAGGGAATTCTGAAAATAAGTGACTGTAGAGCCTGGTGAAAAAATTACAGAAAAAAACTATAGAAAATTAATTTGCTTTTCCCCAAGTGTCAAATAAGAACCCACTTTTTAAAGGTGTCTGTGAGCCGCTCAGTGAGCCTGGAATCCACTTTAGGAAGAAATTTGATTCATCACCAAATTATGAATAATATTTAAAATGTAGGATTTTGAGGGTATATGGAAAGGTTAGGTGTTCATAGAGAATATGGAAACACTAATTAAACTGGAGTGAGGAAGGTGGACTACTTAATGACTCAATTCCCCATTCCTCTTTCTTGATTTACTATCTCATGACTCTTCTGGAACCTAGATGAAATATAAAAGGCTTTTTGGCTATTTCTGTCTCTATATTTCTTCATTTTTTTCCCACTCCAGCCATTTGTCCTTGACTGTCTGTGTCTCCTTGCTTGCTCCCCCACTTTCTGACAGGGGTCACCGAACTTTTCATAACCTCTCTGTCAGGACTCACCGTATAGAGAGTGACATTTCATTTTTGGGAACATATTATTTCCGATAGAACAGGAACAGTGAGGACAATGTTCCCTAGGGGGCTGCTAGGTAGAATTTGGGGAGACAAAGGCCACTGATGCCTGCTACATGATTAGGGCAGATTATCTCACAGGTTACCAGACAAGCCCTTAGTTGCCCCATGAAGACCTGTGTTGGAATATGCAAGCCTATACGTGTTGGAAAGGAAAGAGAAATCTGAGTAAGTGCCAGGGAATCCATGAATTTACCAGTTGCTGTCCTGATCACTTAGAGGATTAAACCAGACTGTTCAAAGTACAGCCTTTCAATAAATGTTAGGTCCATCTTCCCTTGTCTGGCTTCCCCCTTATCCATTGGACTGTATGCTTGTCCTGCCCTTGGGACCCAGGCTCAAACAAGGAATGGAACAATTTACTATAAGCAGGGTCTGACCACCTTACTCTCCAAACATCTAGGGCGCAATGTCCTCTTTAGAAAAGGCAGGTTGCTGTGAGCAGAGGGTCAGGTGGAATCCAGCTACAGAGGGAGAGGTGGGAGGTGGGAGGGGATGAGGGAGTGAGGAGCCAGAAATGGGAGGGGGGAGACTTGAGCAAGTCTAGTTGAGTCAGGATGGCACATAAACAAGGGCTCAACATGTACGGCAACCCCAGCCTGAAATTTCTGTGACCACAGGACCCCTATGAACCCTGCATATTAGTACATCATGGTAATGGTAACAAATTATCATTGATTGGGAACCAGCCACAGAATGGCCAAGAAAAAGATCCTTACGGTACGGCAGCATGGCTTATCACACCTTGGACATGTGAAGGGAAGGAGTGACAAGATGGTAGGATCGTGAGCTGTACCAGGGCAAGGTGACAGAGTATGCGGAGAAGGAGCACATGGTGGTGGTACCTAGTCACGAAAGTTTCACAGTCAGTGTCATTTCTAGAGGTGAAGGAGCAGAGAGGGTTTTGCTGTTGTTGTTGTTTTGTTTTGTTTTGTTTTTGATTGAGTCCAAGAATCACAAGACAAGGTATACTGAGCCTTGCAGGAAAGTGACGGATGTGTATACCTTACACAGGGACTTTGAGCCACAGCCCAGCTCTTTTAGCTGCCTTAGTCAGGGACCGCTTAGGGATTGGACATCATGGCTGCAAGATTGTGGCTAGAGAGGATACTTGAGATGGGTAGTAGAGGGGGCACTGGACTTGGAGCCAGAAACCCCTGGATCTTCCTTTCATTACCTATGTGACTTTGGACAAACTTTATTTATTTGATCTCTGGCTTCTGCATCTGTTCAGTGGGGATAATAATACCAGATCTACCCAAGCACAGCATAAGATTGCTATAATGATCAAATGAGAAAATGTATGTGAAATCACATAAGCCGAAAAGGTATAAATGTAATTTATTATCAAAAAGTATCAATATCCCATTCTCACTGATAATTGAAGCATTTACTCAGGTACCCAGTGAATTGTGAACTAACACAAGTGAACCACCACATCCAGTTAACCTGTTACTATGCAGACAGAGTCAAATAACACAACAAAATCAATACTTGTTTCAAGGAAAATAGATTATTTGGAATGGAACTATAAAACACAAATATATAATTATGTAAATATAAAATCTTATAGTTCTTTTTACATGTCCAATAAAACGGTGGAGAGTTTCTTTTTGGGTATGGAATTCTGATTAAAAGCAAGATATTTATCATTTAAAAAAATATGGTTCTCTCTTAAGGCCAGTCCTCAAGCTGCAAAGTAAGATATTGAAGACAGCAGTGCATTTAATGCCAATATAAAAATGACTTTGTTCTTTCTGTCATCTTTTATTCCCACATGTTTCTTTCTGTCTCAGAAATCTACTTAAACTGAAGTCCCAGCAGTCTTTAAATACCAAAGTGAAGACACAGGTGAATCGTCACGTGAAATGTTTTATGTTCTAGATTTGTCTGATTGTTTCCTCACAGTGTCTTGTAACTTTCTCCTCTACCCCCTATTTCCTGTAAACTGTAAATTCTGTCCAGAAGCTTGTCAGAATAAGGTTAAACATTTTTGGCAAGTGTTCTTCCTGTGGCATCTCATTAGGTTGTCCATTATTTGTGACGATAAAGTGGCGACAGCTTACATACCTTCATGGAGAGATTTCCCTTGTAATTAGCAGGCAATCTGGGGGGCAGTGCTTTGACATCATGTGAATATTCAGTTCACCATTAGAAGTTTGCTTAATGGTTTTAGAATCCATGGATGATTCTTTCTGGAATCAGTTATTTCTTTGAGGGTTGTAAGATGGTATTTTTCTAATTCTATTATTTCTTTCACATTTTTACCTGGTATTATTCTTTTATAAAGCTTCCTCTTCGACTTCAGATGAACTACAGTTCCTTTTTTATATTTTTAATTTATTTTTAAAGATTTTATTTATTTATTTGAGAGAGAGCATGAGCGGGGCCAGGGAGGCAGAGGGAGGGGGAGAAGCAGACTCCCCACTGAGCAGGGAGCCCTATGCTGGGCTCTATCCCAGGACCCTGGGATCGTGACCTGAGCTGAAGGCAGATGCTTAGCCAACTGAGCCACCCAGGTGCCCCTACAATTCTTCTTTTAAAAAGCAAGTGAAATGGCTTGTTTGTCCTCCTTACTTACAAAGTTTTGTGGTAAGGAATTGCTGTAATAGTCACCTTTAGTAGGGAGACTTTTTTTCATTCTCTCTTTTGAGTATAATTACAGATTGATTTTATTTATTCAATATGCTACAATCAATTAGAATAGTTCTTCTTAGGATGCTTAGATTGTCCCAAATTTGCCAAAAAGGAGCCTCATCTTGATGGCTCTTACATCCTTTTGACAGATCCCATTAGTCAGTGAATGCTTCTTTGCTTTCTGGCACAAGATGTCCCAGGCTCACTTTATTCTTTTCCTGCTCCAGATTTGTAAAGGGGTTTTTAAAGTGATATGTTCAGCTATTTTTATACAGAAACAAGCTGTACCAGACTGTCTCTTTGCCTCATTCATTCATTTAGCAAGTACTTACTAAGTATCTGCCATGTGTCAGGAACCTGGGATATCAAAATAAATCTGGCTCACATCCTGTTCTTGGGGAGTTTAAAACCTAATAGGATGGAGGAATCATGAATATCTAAAGGTGGGAAAAGATACATGTCTTACAATAGAGGGGCATATCATATGTTGAGGAAATTCAGAGGAGTGGAAGGTTATTGGACCAGTTGGATTGTGTGGGATGTGGAGTTGCAGAGATGGAGTAAAGCTTGGGAAACAGAGATGGAAAGGCTGCGTACCTGGGAGACATGGCTTTGTCCAATGTGAGTAAAAGTGGGATTTGCTATTTGTCAGAAAAGGAAGTCAAAGAGGGTATGGGGACAGTTGGATTCACTCCCCCCCACATAGAGGGATCCACTTATGAACAGTGTTTCAGTACTCTTCTAAGACATTTGAATTCTGTTCTAAAGAAAATGGCAACCACGAAAAGGCTTTTGTTCTTTGTTGTTATTATTTGAATTTTAAACCAGAACAGTGATAGGACAGAAGATGTGCCACAGAAGCTTCACAGAGAGGCCTTTTGTCATGTAGGCCATCATAGGAGAAAGGTAATCATACAGGCAGTTGAATGTTGAACAAGCTGGCTAGTAAGAAGGTATAATGACTCAAATACATGGGGCCCTAGCTACTCCTGTGATATGTCTTACGTGCAACAGTAGATCACCAAAATAGTTGTAATGTCACTTCATAATAAAAATTGGTTCAGTTGCCCATGACTATGAAAAACCCCATGCAGCTCACGTATCTTTCTCCCAAGCACAGAACTCCTTCCTTCTTGGTTCTTTCTAAAAATCTTGATCGTAATACCTCCAGATGTTAACTTACATGGTCAGCTTTTTTTATTAAATAAGCTACAGCACCTAAGCGAAATACCTGAACAACCAAACACTGCTAAAAATTCAAAGCCTCGAAGCTCCTACTGAAATGAGACTTCTTACGCTCTTACTTTGAGGCTACTTAACTGTTGTTTTTGGTACTTATAACAACTTTCATGATGTAGTTTCTCAGCTTAATTTAATGTATCATGTGAAAGATAAGACAGGCTACTGGAGGCTGTCATGTCAAGAATCGCGAGGATACAGTAGAGGGCATATATTGTTAAATGAGAAACAAGAACTCCAAAATCACTGGGCCTAAAGCTATTCTATGTGATGAAGAGCAGCTCCAACACTACCTGCAAGTATAATTGCATTATAATTGGCGTTTATATCTTGACAGTCATCCACAGAATCTGTTCTGGATATGAAATACTTCAGACTTCCATCCTAAATGAAAGAAATGAAATTCAAAAAAAAATTCTTGGCACTTCAAGAGGTAAATTGCTCCATCCCTCTCCCCTTTGATAATTGACAGCCTAATTAGATGGGTTTTGGATTTGTAAACTCATCTTAGCAAGTTTGACCATTTATTAAGCATTTTCATTTTCTCTTGGTTCCTTGTGATTTGAACTTTCCTATCCTGTTATATGTTGTTCAACTATTCTTCCCTCCCATGACTTTGAAAATTCTGCTTCTCACTGTGGCCTGGAATGTGATATTTTTTCCCCATGTCTGAGCTCAACTGAGTCTTTTATCTCCAGGGTGAAAGTGTCATAGAGACCTGCTAAAATTAAACGTCATCACTTCAAATTAAAATGTGTAGCATGGAGCTATTAAGCCACCAGAAATTTTCCTGTTTGAAATTCATAGACAATCCCAATCTATGTCTTAAGCTGAAGGAATCTCAGGAGACGTTAGTCAAAGCATCCCTTTTCAGGGTATTTATCCTGCCACAGCTCAGAAAATCTTTTGAATGCCACCATTCATATCTTACCTCTCAGATTGGCAACTTCAGGTATTTGCCAGCACTTGCCAAAGATCTCTGTTTCCTACTAGGACATCACCTCTTTTTCAGGCCTCCTACTGAGATTGTTCATGAGCCTACGCTCAACAACCCATTCATTCACTCATTCGTTCAGTATACAATTTCCTGGGCATTGGGTATACAATTATGAATAAAAACAATGAGGTCACTGCCTTTGTGGAATTTACATTTCAGTGGGATATGGATCAGAAAAAGCAAGAGTGCAAATAAGCAAAAAGAAGTTATTCAGCCAAATAAATATAATTTTAAGATATAGTAATATTAGGGAGAAAATAAATAAGACCTGAGAGAAAGAATAATAGGAGGCACTTGATTTAGATGAGATGATCAGGAAAGGAAGTACATTTAAACTGAGACCTAAAGGAGATATGAAGGCGACAGCCATATGAAAAAGAAAGGAGGAACATTCTAGGCAGAGGGAATGGTGTGTTCATGGTGAGAAGACACTAGGCTCATTCAAGGAATTCAAAGAAGCCTAGCATAGCTAGAATAAGTGGGCAAGGACGAGAGCAGCTCAGGAGTGATGGATAGTCAAGACTAGATAAGACAGGCCCCTGAAGACTCTGGTATTCAAGGGGAGATATGTCTGCAATACACCAGTTGAGGCAGAGGTCAGATCTTTCCCTTAAACAGATTTTGAGCATAGTATCTAACACCTCCCATTATGTTGTCAATACAAGGGGGAAATACAGAATAATGGAAATATGAAATAATAATGGAGCAATTTATTGAAATTTGCTCTTTCACTCTTGGATATATACCCAACAGAAATGCATGCATATTCTCCCCAAAAGGCATGTGTAAGAATTATCAGAGCAGCATTACTTACAATAACCAAAAGATAGAATCAACCCAAATGTCCAACAACAGCTGAGAGGATGAATCGTGATCTATTCATGCAATGAGAATTAATGAATTA